CCTTCCTTCCTTCCTTCCTTCCTTCCATCCTTCCATCCATCCATTCACTCTTTCTTCATATAGTTCTTTTCTCACATTACGTACCTCTGAAAAGATCACAAAATCTAACTCTGTTGCTAGACTTTTCTGCACCAATCATATGTTGGCTGTCTGTGCCACATGGGCAGTTAAATTATAGAAGCTGTTATAAGTTAGATCTGCACGGGGTTTCTTTTTTAGATTTAGTGGTTTTTGTATTGTGATGAAAAGTGGTGTTGTGTTATCATCCTTTTCCCAAGAAGACGTTCTATGCTCACAAAGGTCCTATTTCTTGTTTCTTGTTATTTCATTTCTCTTTCTTACACACAATCTGAGGTTTTCATTGGTTGGGTCCTAAAATTTTACTTCTCTGGTTACCCCAGGAAATCTGGCAGATTGAATTCTGTGATTTAAGGATGCCATTTAAGATGATGATCACTGTGTCTGAGTATTGTCAAATAATGTCACAAGTTGTGTTCACCCGATTATATGAACCACTGGCGCCCCCAAGATTTTATTCAATCTGAGCAAATTGCTTTGACTCTGTTTCTCTTATCCCATTTTTGCTTCTTGTCTTCACTCTTAGCCATGCTGGCTTGTGCCTAACCTATACCTGTGACTAATACAGTGCTGAAATCTCTCCTCTAATTCCCCATTATTTTCCTCCTTTGCAAAAAAAGGTTCTGTTTTTAGGACCTCATTCTCAGGGTAGAATGAACTTGCAGTTGTTTAGCGAAGCCTGACGGCTATTTTCTGTTCCCCATTTGCCTGCCAAGCTGCAGATTCCCAGGATGCCCTTGCTTCCTGGTGTGAAGAAACACCATAGAGGTGTTTCCTCTTGAGATCGTCCATCTGGATTTAACTGAAGTGTGGGAAATTGCTAAAGCTGCAGATCATTGGGAAAAACAAATATCATACAGTGGAAAAAAAAGAACTCTTATATTAACCTTCTCTTTGATGACCTCATAACTATATTGTGTAAAAATTTCACACCTTCCTGCCTCTTTCCATAATTTCAACTATTTTCTTTCCTCATCGCACCAAATAAAACAATACCATTCTGATCTTTGATTGCCAGGTGCTTGCTCTTTTTCCTGCTTCTGGCTCTGCATTCTCCGTTGGGCTTCAACTCTTACGGTTTTGTCCTCCGCAAAACTTAACTGTGTCTGTTTTGCCCTATATTCATTTCTGTGTTCTAAAAGCCAGGAACAAGATGCCCACTGAAGGCTTCATATCATTCTATTACCGGAAGTTAGCATAAGAGTAATTCCCCATGCTAGTAGGAAGACACATATATCTAGAAAACCTATGGTTTGTATCATCTTCCTAACTGTCTAGAAACTTACATGAGGGATGGGGGAAAAATCAAGTTAAAAGGATAGTAGAGGCGGGAAGATGAAATTGTTACTCAATCCAGTTAGAAACATTCTTGTTTCTTTTGTTTTGTCTGTGTGCTTTCCATGAAAATAATGGAAAGTGGCAAGAGTAAGATGAATTGGAGTTTCCAATAGCAATCTGATTTCCACATTTTGAGAAGTCAATGCTCTCAGACCGTGATGACAAAAAGTGGCACATACAAGTAGTTCTCAATTTACAACAGTTCATTTAGTGACTGTTCGAAGTTACAACATTACTGAAAAAAAGTGATTTATGACTGTTTTTCACATTTACAACCATTGCAGGATCCCCACAGTCACGTGATCAAAATTCAGAAGCTTGGCAACTGACTCATATTGATGACGGTTGCAGTGTCCCACGTGATCAGCTTTTGCGGACCTTCTGACCAGCAAAATCAATGGGGGAAACCAGATTCACTTAACAACTGTGTCACTAACTTAACAGCTGTAGTGATTCATTTAACAAACATAGCAAGAAAAGTTGTAAAATGGGGCAAAACTCACTCAACAAATTCTGTTTCACTTAGCAACAGAAATTTCGGTCTCAATTGTGGTCGTACGTGAAGGACTACCTGTATTCATCGGTCCCCTCTATCATGTGCAAGGAAGACTTTAAACACAGAGAGAGACACAAACATACATGTTACAGTTTGTATTATGAGCCTATAGTAGTTAACTTCATCACAAAAATGGGTCATTGTTAAAAAGGTTCTCTGTAGCCCAACTATGATTCCATCAGCACCCTCAGCCTAGCAGTTTGCTGATGAAGGTTGCTGCAGTTAAGATTGGAAAAGAAAATGGCATAGCAAATAATAATGTGTTATTTTTCAAGACACACCTGAAAAAAAAAAAAAGAACTCAGGAAGCGGCTTTGCAAATTTTCTAATTGGCAGAGTGGAAATCTGCCCAAACCATGAAAACAAAATAGTGATTACCCTACTTTCCAGACGATGGAAAGAGACATCTTAGATATTTCATGTTGACGTTGCTGAGATAATTTTATATGTTTGGAAGGTCATAAAGGAAATAATTACTATTAGGCTGGTGCAGTGTCTGGAAGCTAAAAGAAGTGTTTTTGGAGTATTAAAGGGACACATTGCTTTACTTTTTGAAACCAGAAAGAGCCCTAAATGGAGAAATATTTAATTTTTAGAAATGAATCTCCTTTAAAAGCAGAGACATATGAATCCTTTTTATATCCTTTATATTATTAAATGTTTTGGTAGAATAAGGCAACCCAAATGGTTTGTGTGAAAGCCACACTCAGATTCCTATTCATTTGTTGAAAGCATTGCTATCCTTTTGCAGTAGTGAAAATAAAATATTCATTATATTCAAGGTTACCTAGAATGGCCATTTTGACCATTTATGTATTCTTAAGAGAAAATGTGACATTAAGAAAAGGGGACAAATGAGGATAGAGCTTTGCATAACACTCATGTATGTGTATGTGAATTTGTTTCTTCTGTGTAATTTTGGCAAGAATACCAAAAATATATGAGATTTCAGTGTTCTTCTTAGATCTACATAGGATTGTTGGGGGGAAAGGGGAGAGGAGGATGCATCTTGACTCTGGATACAAATAAAAGTTTGATTGATTTTAAAAACTGGGGGAGAGGCACTTATAACTTTGCATGTTCTTTTCCCTGCACAATAGCAGGCACATATTTCATCATACATGAGCTCTGGTTCTTTCCCAAATTACTTAGAGTACATGTAATCATTGGGATCATCCAGAAATAGAGTTTTGTTGGTTTTTGTATTGAACTGCTCTCTTTTTTTGCTGGGCATAGAAAAGGTATATAGTAGATTTGATTTTACAACATTGTGATGTCAACATGATCAGGAATAGACTTTCTGGGGGCCAAGGAAATGCACTGATAGATGCTGGCATAAGATTTGAATTGGACTACCTGTAGCTTCTTGGCACTGTCATTCAACACTGTGTTTTGATGGCGTTGTGGAGACAAAGGGCATACCCAGCCCTTCAAGCCAATTCAGACAAGAAACCAAAACCATGACTACTAATACTACCTTTATTTAAGGTTATCATAACAAAATATTGCAAGCCTGAACACATTTCTCCACTTTCCTATCTTCACTTTCCAGAGAACTTGGAAGATGCTTTCTCTGCTCCCATTCCTTCTGTGGACCGAGATGTCTCTTATCTGACTGTTGCCCTAGCTCAGTGATTCTCAACCTTTCTAATGCCATGACCCCATAATACAGTTCCCCATGTTGTGGTGACCCCCAAGTGGGTGTGGCCACCAATAAGAGGGAGTAGGACAGCTAGGGAAAAAGGAAAAAATGGCGGACAGCATGGTTTGGTGACCCCCGTGAAATGGTCATTCGACCCCAAATGGGGTCCCGACCCACAGGTTGAGAACCACTGCCCTAGCTGCAGCTGTTCCTTCTCCTATCACTCAAGGATATTCCCACAGACCAGGGGCGGGGAACTATGGCCCCTGCTGGCTCAGGAATTCTGGGAATTGAAGTCCACAAGTCATAAAGGGACCATAATTCTCTACCTTTGCCATAGACTATTACAGGGCAAACAAAAAACAAACAAACAAAAAATTCACCTGAGTACAGCCAGGAACACTTTTACTATAGTATGGCAGAAAGTTGTGGGACTCATTCTCCTACAAACCCCCCCCCCAAACCTTCCCAAACAGGAATTTCAGGAATTATTTTTTTACTATCAAATTCTGCAGGCCAAAAATTTTTGAGAATTCCTGTTTTGCACTAATGAATCAAAGATCCTGGACCAAGCAGGGAGAGGGATCCAGGGAAATCATTTTTCCAAAATTTGGGTAGCTGATCCCTGTGTACATGTGGCTTGATGTGCTACACTGGAGTATAAGAAATGGTTTTGATCGGGTTTGTTATTATTATTCAGTCGTGATGTCCCACCTGCTGTGCATCAGGTTAATACTACCCATAATACACTGCGTTCTTTTCCTTGAGAATATAGGAACTGCCTGACTGGGTCAGGCCAAGGCCCTTCTCGCTTCATATCCTGTGCTAAATAGAGGCATTCAGGAAGCTCAGGAGTTCTCATTCATGGAAGGAGGCAGAGGGAATGGTTTTGAAGGACTGGAAGAAGAGTTACTATTAAAGCAAACATCAGATAAAAGGGCCTAAATCTGGGGCAAGAATATAACTTGAGTAAATGTCTCAGAAGGGCCCTCCCTGGTTCACATGAAGATAAAGGAGATGGGGAGAAGCACATGCAGACTTGCAAGATTCTGTTACTATAGCTTTACAATAAAAGTAGTCCTGACCTTCATGCATTGGTTCCCTAATCTGATCTACACCTGAAAGGCTGACGTGGAAGCTGCGTTACTATTAGGTCTTAATAGTAGTGCTTTATCTTTCAGGGAGGAGGCAGTAATCCAAATTTGTTGTAGCCAGTCCTTCTCGAAACAAGTCAAATCCGCTTTAGCTAGGTCACCTTGCGGATTCCAATAGCCAGCATCAACCTTAAAGTTGGTCAGACAAAATATCGACTGTGCTACTTGGCATCTCTGTGTTGAAGAGGGCATCGTCATTGATGGCGTGTCTTTTCCTTGTTTGGAAAATTAGATGTTTGTTGCTGAAGAAAATGTGGATTTTCGGATACATGTGGAAAATCAGACACGAGCACGAGACGATGTCAGCAGGAAGCAGCTCAGACTTTATCAGCTGTACAGCCGAACCAGTGGGAAGCATATCCAGGTGCTAGGAAGGCGGATCAGTGCCCAAGGAGAAGATGGAGACAAATATGGTAAGAGAATTTACTTCTATCTGCTATTCTTGGGTGTGCCTAAGCTGAAATCAGGAATTCTGGGAGTTGAAGTCCACGAGTCATAAAAGAGCCAAGGTTGCCGACCCCTGGCCTAAGGGATGGAGGCGATTCATCGGCTTCCCTGATTGGTCAAATTTGAATAAAATAAGCCAAGACAATGGACACAGAATGAACCAGGACCAAAAAGAAAAGACCATTAGCTTGTTAAATATGAGGCAAATTACAAAAAATAAAAGAAAATGATTTTGCCTTATTTGTTGTTTAAATGGTCTAGGAAATTACAATCATTGTTAATGTACTTTTCACTATATTTCTTAGTTGTTGTTGTTTTTTTTTTTTACTGTAATTCCTTTCTGAGGGGAATTGTCTTTCCTTTTGTAAAAAAAATCATCATGATAATACTGTGGGGTAAATGACAGTAAACTTGATTGAAACTCTTCTAAGGAACTTTGTAGCTAACTAAAGAGGGTTAAAGAAAGGATCAGCTTTTGAAAAACAACCATCTAATCTAGAAGTACCTCTTCCACGACTGTTCTGAGTAGATTGCACTACTTGTTTCAACTTACCTAAATTTGGGGTGAATGGGAAAATTACAACTTGCTGGTCATCATCTTTGAACTTCCCAGATTCTCCATTGGAGCAGCGTGTCCTCAAAACTTCTAACATAGGCAGATAGTATGGTAGAAGTAGTTCATAGTGGAAGTCCATGTATTATTCATGATTGGTTGTGGAAAAATGGAGAGAAAAAAAAAGAGACCAGATGCATCCCTTTAGTTTCAGTGGGATAAGAGATGGAGATGAATAAAATAGAGTAATGTTTATTTTGATGTCTTGCCGGGTCCTTCAGTTATGAATATATTTTCAACTCAGAAAATTAGAACTAAAGAAGGTTAACTTATCCTTCCTGTTCTACAGGTAGTCCTTGACTTCCAGTTGAGCCTGGAATACTGGTTGGAAGTTGTTGCAATCATAAAGTAGGATCACTATACGACCTGGCTTGATTTTACAACCATTTTATGATGGTTGTTAAGTGAGTCACCTTGGTTGCCACCGTGGTAGAAAACAAAAAAAAAAAGTTGCAAATTGTGATAATGAATCTACAGGATGCCGCAACAGGCCAGAAATACAAACTGGTTGCCAAGAGCCCAAAATTCAGCCAAGAGCCCAAAATTCAGGGGTGTGTGTAGTCATAATTTTGAGGATGGATCATAAGTAGCTTTTTTGCAATCCATCACAACTTCAAACGGTCATTAAGTGACTAATTGTTAAGCAAGGACTACCTGTATTGCTTCCTAACTTTAGCAACTTCCAAATAAGTGGACCAACTCTCAAGCTTGTTGTCCAATGTCTTTCACTGCTCTCAGCTGAGTGATGTGCATCAAGGCACTGAAGGAGTTCTGCTAAGCAAAAGAGGTGCCTTGTGAGATTGCACACAAAGCCATTTTTCTGCTGCATAATAATTACTGCGGCATCATACATGTAAGATAGATTTAGGACCCAACTATATTTTGCATTATACAAATATATATGTGTGTATGGCGGGGATAGGCAATCTGCATCCAATGCCTTTGTTTTATAGTCCAGTCCCTAAGATTATCTCATTGAGATATGGTAGCATAGTACAATTTTAGGGTAGTACAATTTTAGTTTAAATAGACAAGAAGATAATACGGGGTTAGGGTTAGGGTTAGATACATAGTACTTCACTAGGTCATTTACAAACCCATTGGCTGCATTGGTACAACATATTAAACTTGGTTACCTTTTATCCTCAAGTTCAAGAGTTTTTCTGTGATTCTGCATTTTATCAAAAAGAATCTGAAAATTCTGGCCTGTTTCTCTAGCTGATCCTGCACCTCTCAGCGTTCAGGAGATTTTTAGAAAATGTAGACTCGCTATGGAGAGTTGCTCATTCTTAGTGTTTGGAAGAAGAATGAACAAATGAAAAAAGACTGAGGATTTATGTTTGCTATGCTAGCAAAACATTTATTTATTTATGTAGCATATGGCTTAAAATGTCAGGGAAATCTACACATGCTACACAATTCGGTTCTGACAGCCTAGATTGCTAACTCATTCTGTTCAGTGTCTGTGCGTCTGTACTTGGTGCACTGTACAATTCGTGTGTATGTGTGTTTGTGTGAACTAGCTTTACACCATTTAACTAGTGGTGCTTGGGTTGCTGGCTCTTCCAGGCTCTTCCATTGATCTCGCCTTGCCTTGCCTCATGTCACAGTGTCTCACATCCAGCCAGGACCAGTGTTGGCTTTCATTCTCCGCACACATGAATGCAACTAGTTTTTTTTTCCTACTGAAGTGGTACCTATTTATCTACTCATAACATTGCATGCTTTCAAACTGCTAGGTGGGCAGGAGCTTGGGATTGAGTGACGGGAACTCACTCCATTTCATGGAACCGGGCTCGAACCGCTGGACTGCAGACCATTTCTGGCCAGCAGTTCAAGTGTCATTAAGCCATTGTGCCACCGCGTCCCCTAGCAAAACATTTAAAATTGTCTACTTGGATGCTATTCAAACTAAAATTGGGGTAGGTTTGCCTACTGTTTGGGTTTCAGTTTGGGGGTTGGTAGAAAACATGGTTAGGGCTTGGGCTGATGTAGAAGGTGCTGATTTTAACTGGGCCAAAATTGATATTCAAAAATGCATGTCTCCATACACAAGTATTTATCACATTTTAAAAAAATGGAACTGACATATTTCAAGTATGGTAGGTTGAAGGAGTAAAAGAGGTGGAGGATTTATTTTACTGTGGTCCTTTACATTGAAAAAAAAAAGTGTTTATAACTATTGTGAGAATTTGCTCTGTCTCATCGGTGATCCCGGCAGTCGAGTAACTCCAACGTTTTAAAAAATATGCTATGCTTAAACGCTTAGGGTTTACTTGGAAACATAAAAAAATAATTTGCCATCAGCCAGACATGAAACATTCTTGTAGCACATTTGATTCTGAACTCTAAACAGAAAACATTACAACAATACATTGAACTGAGTCATTTTGATAGATGACTTTTAAACTAGGATCCATTCAATTAGATATTAATCAGGCTATGTCTAGACTGATAATGTGAATGATTCTCCAAATATTTCATATTGGTGGGATGCTGAGTGTTCCTAAAGTGCTTTTAGATCATGGAGAATGGAGAGGAGGGGATTATGTCTGGACAGGTTACTTAAAAAGTAGCTGCCTATTCATCAACTAGATTTAAATCTTGCAATTCTGTACAATGCTTTTCCCACTTGACTATAACAGTGTGAAGTGGTTGACTAATTCTCTTGCACACACTGACTTTTAAAAAGGAAAAGGGTGGGAAATGGAAGGTACAGATTCACATTACATGGTATCTCACACTGATGGAATAGATAGGAGAGGCAGCCGTATGTAAGCTGAAACACTGGATTTTCAGCACACAAAAGCAAGAGGACATTCTATACTGTTTGTTCTCCCTTTGTGTGCAGTTCATTTACAGGGCTGGTCTTGCTTGGGGTAGAAAAAAAAAGGCTTTATTTGTGTTTCATGGCTGGGAGATTCTATTTCAAAGTATGGGACTTCACTGTTATGTTGAAAAGTAATGTTAATGTTTCCTGTGTGCCAGGTAGCATTGTGTTATGCGCAGTTGAATTCTAGATCTGAATGACTTCCTGAGAGCCAAAAGAAGGGGCAAATGATAAATTATAGAGAGGTGACATTCACATAATATAGGACAGGATGCAGAGGTGAAATTGATTGATTTGGAATTCTGGAGAATGAGTTTGATCAGATCCAAGCTGTAGCTCGCATGGTTTGCATGCAGGAGATCTCGGGTTTACTCTCAGCATATCTGGTTACAATAAACAGTACTGAAGTTGGTGGGCCAGTTTACTAATGTAGTGCAAGACAGTTTCCTATGATCTACTTGTACTTGGATATTATAACTAATCAGCTTCTTAACTGAATAATAGCACAGTTAGTTGCTGGATGGTGAGTTTTGCTGCTATGTGGAATAAAATATATAATTTCCTAGCTCTCAGGATTTTTTCCCCCCTATCTTGCTGGGGAATAGCAGAATTTTTAATTCATCTTTTTGGAGCATTAGTCCAAGACATCTATGGGGATTCTCAGTCATCCAGGTTATGGTTGTCCCAAAGGTGCTTTTTTTCAAAAGGCAACTGAATGTTGTTTTTTTCCTTGAAAACGTTTCACTTCTCACCCAAAAAGCTTCTTCAGCTCAAGAAGCTGAAGAGGCTTCTTGGATCAGAAGCAAAACCTCTTTCAGGAAAAAACAAAGTCTAGTTACCTTTTGAAAAAAATACTTTTGGGATTAATTCAAGACATTCTACCACCTCTAGATAGTACCTGCCAGATGCAATGGATTTCAGCTATCAACTTTGATCAACCTAAGGTACCAGATTAGAGAAAGATGATCTAACAGCAGTTAGAGGACAACGAAGCCACAATACAGAAGTCAGAATTTAATAATAATAATAATAAAGTTGAAAGGGACCTTGGAGGTCATCTAGTCCAACCCCCTGCTCAGACAGGAAACCCTATACCATTTTAGACAAATGGCTGTCCAGTCTCCTCTTAAAAATTTCCAGTGTTGGAGCATTCACCACTTCTGGAGGCAGATTGTTCCACTGGTTAATTGTTCTAACTGTCAGGAAGTTTCTCCTTAGTTCTAGGTTGCTTCTCTCCTTGATTAGTTTCCATCCGTTGCTTCTTGTCCTGCCTTCAGGCACCTTGGAAAATAGCTTGACTCCCTCTTCCCTGAGATATTGGAACACTGCTATCATGTCTCCCCTCGTCCTTCTCTTCATTAAACTAGACATACCCTATTCCAGCAGCCTTTCCTTATATGTTTTAGCCTCTAGTCCCCTAATCATCTTTGTTGCTCTTCTCTGTACTCTTTCTAGAGTCTCAACATCTTTTTAACATCGTGGTGACCAAAACTGGATGCAGTATACCAAGTGTAGCCTTACCA